CCCTTTAAGCACCGCTACATTGCCGATTCACAGAGAGAAGATACGAGAAACTTCCGCTTCGAGAAATGTTTCTTTCAATACGGTTTGATATGTTTGTTTGGACGGTTTGGCTGCACCGAGAATAGAGCTGGTCAAACACGCAAGCCGCTCTGTGCTTTTCTTTACCTCGCGCTTCAATGACAGGATCTATAAGCTAAACAGACTACGTGGTGTATGTGCATGCTAAGTTTCAATTAGTTTTTCAAGTCTTTTTACAGTAGGCTGAGCAAACGGTTTCGAAAAAAAATTAGTGAAGTAATCGTATTACTTTTACATATATGCTGGGAGTTATTAGGGGTACACTCTTTCTGCATCGCTTGTCTGGCAACGTTCACGATCTCTGTGTCGTGGTATCACAACAGGGCGTCTCAATGCATGCCAGCACTGTCATCCAGATACACTTACACGTGCGCCAATTTTTCCACGCTGTGCTGCTTAACTGGCAAAAGAAATGGCACACACCCGCATCCCATCTGATCGCCTTCAACCACTGCAACAACAACAAACAAACAAAAGAGTCAGAGAGAAAGAGAGAGAAATGATTAGTAAGATGTTATCTACGCTTTGTGGACGAAGGGTTGATCCCAGCATCTACCCATTATTTACCGCCGATAGAAAGTAATGATGTTAATAAAGCAGGACAATCAGCTACACGACCTTGATACTATACGGTAAAAAAAGCTCATACCAAAAGTTGAAATATGGCAGGACGCGTAACACATCAAGGCAATCTCGTGGTACACGCCACAACGCGACGTTTACACACCGAGCCTTTCCGCACGATCACAATATCCCCCACCATAGGTCGGCGAAAATTGCGGAACTCACTCAGACGCCCTCATGAAATTTGTTTCACGCTTAAGGCTCACTCGGCCTCGCACTGCTCAAGAAAAATTTCGTCACCTGGGCGACACAATCACACCAGAGAGTTACGGACTCACTCAGGCTATGATTCACGGCTGGGTGAGCCCGAGTGAATCGACACCTGAGTGAGTTCACCGACCTATGCCCCCCCCCCCCCCCCCACCGACCCCTTTTCAATGAGAAGACTTACACAGATACCAAGGTATGACACACCACTCACTATATAGCGAATGTGATAACCAGCTGTCCAGAAGAAGGTATACCAGAGAAGAAACCGTTATTTCAGGAAGCATTCTAACGTGGACACTGGCGTAGCCGGGTCTGTTGAGGAAGGGGGTTTGAAGTGCCCGAAAGTTCTCAACTTTTTATGTGGGGACATACATGCACTTATAAGAGCACACGCACGAAACATGCATATAGGGTCGCTAAACACCTCCCCCGTCCACTGCCGAAAAGAATTTGGGGGTACGCCTCTTAGCGGTGACAATATATACCTCCACGGCACACTGCTGTGCGCGATGTATTAGATCACATGTTTAGTGAACTGCTTGCTCTGAAAAGATGGTGCGAACACACTTAAACAGATATTTATTTATTTATTTATTTATTTATTTATTTATTTATTTATTTATTTATTTATTTGCATACAGAGAAGGTCATAGTAAAAAGATGGAGAGAGCAAGCTGGAAACCACCATTTGCAAGGGCCCGATGTCTGGCCATATTTTCTTTCGGGAGGAGAGAAGAGATAGAGGAATGCAATGTAGGAGGAGAGAAAGAGGAGAAAAAAGAGAGAAGTAGAAAACGAAAAATGACGAATTCTTCAGCAAACATAAGCAAACGCGAAAAAAGAAAGCCTATAAACAAGTGACCAGGCTCATTTAGTACTAAAAGCCAGTAAAGGCCGTTGCGCCTGGTCGCGTCGAGAAACACAACCTCTAGCAACGAGGTAATCGTCTATGTCCGCGCACTTAAATCCCTGGGATTTATATTCCTTGATCCGCAAAACCCACTGCGTAGCAAATGGAGGACAGTGTAATATAAGATGGTCAAGTGTTTAACAGGAGCCACAAGCTGTGTACAATGGACTGTCAGCACGCCCTTGAAGGTATAAGCGTTCCCACCCTAACACACAACCGACTCTTAGTTTACGTAACAGTGCTCTGGAATGGTGAGGCAAGCCACGGCCACGAACACAGGGAGGGAGGGAACGATCCGTTCGCGACACGATGGTCTGGGGGTTGATTTAGCAGGTGTTGGCGTAAAACAGACGAATGTTGTCCATCATTGAGAAAGTTGCTGTGGTTCGCAAAACACTGAACCACATAATATGAGATTACAAAAACTGCCGGAAAGCTCTGAAAGACTCATTATGAAATGAAGAACTAATAAAGGACCTGCTGAAGAGTCTACACTCTAATGAACAGCTTATGCTCGAAACCTGGGCAAGACAAGCAACGGAGGACCATGGTTTTAAGGAGAGAACCAGCCATGCAGGTCTGCTAACACACAAGTATATGATCACTCGAAAAAGAACGTGCCTTCGCTTCTTTCTGCTGCATTCAGACCTCAAAAGCAGGGTTACTGTGTTCATCCTTTCTATTGTGTATAAGCGGTTTTTGTTAGAGAAGAAAAGGCGCTTGCTTCTGTCTCCCTTTTTGGAGACACGGCTAAGCGCCTTTTTCGTTACGTGGTCATCTTCAGCTAGAATCCTCATGCTTGGCTATACCCCCATCATAAGGTAAAAACGACAGAACTCTTATCAGAGTTCGGTGGCCTTAACCAGTAATCCCTCTCGTGACCATGCGTACAGCAGCTGGAAGCTGTAACTATGCACTAAAACAGCACAGCAGCACGATAAACTTTAAGTAAACCTGACATATGGTGTGTGCGTGTGCGAGTCTCTCTCTCTCTCTTTCTCTCTCTCTCTCTCTCTCTCTCTCTGTGTGTGTGTGTGTGTGTGTGTGTGTGTTGCACATTACTTTTTTATTCAAGCAGTCTTCCTTATGTTAAATACTGTGTCATCACCATGGCTTATTAATCCTCCACAGTCCGTTCACTTGCTCTGGCCTGACCCAGCAATGCGGCACAATCGATAACTACCATCCAATCACGTTTTATAATGCCAGAAGACTCTTTATGAAACAATCAGTGCGAAATGCCATAATTATTTGGAAAGAATATTGGTAAAATTGGTGAAATAATTTAAACGTGATGAAAGAATTCTCTTCAGTGAGCAAATTTTGCCAAAAAAGATACGTTCATCTTATTGCAAAATATGAAGCTCGATGCTACAAACTGTTCTGAAAGTATTTACATGACTCACTAAAAGGCGATTCGGTACCATCTATAACTTCATCAAAATTCAACCTTTTCTTACGTGTGATTATCAAACCGTAATACACGTGCTTTTTTTTTTTAAGTGGCCTGCTTGAAAACAGTAAGGATTCAGAGGGTCCCTGATGCATTCACCTAAGACGGCTCGAAAGTGAAAGCCATCTGTCTTTTAGTTGATGTATTGATCCTCACAGCCCCCTCCGAAAGCATTCTGCATCTATAACGTGGCTTCGCACTGCTTACGAGATCGCAGGCATCGCAAACTGTCTGCACCTCACCAGGTTTAGTATACTGACTGCGCCATCAGCCTGCCGGGACCAAGCGACGATGTCACGCGATGACGTCATAAAGTGACGTTGAAGTGTGACATGGTCACGTGATCGCCATAATGATAACGTCAGCACCAGTGATACAACACTGGTGCTGATGCCACCGCCGATGGTAGATTTTCCCTTTTGATGAGGCATGTAAGAATGTGAAGCCCCCCCCTCCCCTCCTCAGAAAACAAAGTAACAAGGTCTCCAGACTGTGTACGGATTCACCTGCAAATTTCACTTCATAATATATACTACATCTTTCAGGGTATTTCTGTGTAAGCTAAATTTGAATTCTCGCACAACCACTATAGTTCAACTTTCTAAAGGTTTTGGATTCCAGAAATTCATCTCTAACTGGTGGTTAAAGAAAAAAAAAACTGGCATCGTAATACTGAAGATACCACTAATTTTTTTTTCAATAGTGATAATTCCTAGCAAATCAGATTACATTGATCACCTTTCATAAAGGGCAACAACGTATCGACGTCAATGGAAGACTTCTTTTCTTTCCATCATAAGCTTCGGGTGGCCTCGGGATGTGTCACCCATTTGTGCGAATACAGTATTTCATCGCCTAAAAATTAATCCTGAAATTTTTAAGGCAGCGCTTCACCACTGACTGGGGCTTGTTCATATCGATACACTCTGCCCATTCGAACACCACGCCTTTATAAATGATTGAATGTAAGGATAAATTTTATTCCTTTGAAAAATTTCAGTTAGGCGTGTATACATATATCAAAGATTACAATTACAAGGGTTCCGAAACTTTCAGCAGAAATCAATAAGTTTGGATGTTTCCGTTGCTTCAAATATGCCAGTTGGCGCTTTCATGTGTATTTCTTTCAGTTATCCGGCCTGCTTTATTATTGTTATTACTATTTTATTGTTATGGCTGGATGTGGGTTAAGAACATAGTTAACAGAAACAACGGATGCCAGGGGATATCCCAAGTGACACGTCTGTTCTTTTCGTTATATTATTTTTTTTTTGCTGCTGTGCATTACAATCTGCTGTGTTATGATATTATCCTTTGCGAGATTTCTGGATTCACGTTACAGTTATCGTGAGGAGAGCATAATTTGCACGGGCTACGTGCACCCCCTCCTATAAACCGCCAGAGCGACACAATTTGCGTAACGGCGTCGTTGGGAAGGTTATTGCTGCCGAAGTCGAAGCCACGCGACACTCGATCAGTTAGTTTCTTCGTAGAACAACCGTTCAAGACAAGAAGATGGGAGAGGGCGTTCGCTACAGCGCGCGGGTCACCAGATGGAGGGGGCCCCTACGCAACGCTATGCGAGAGAGGGTGACCCACGGCCGGACTACTTTATTCCTCCGCCCCGAGTAGGTCACGTGGGTAGCCCCCCATCCCGCCCCGGAAGAAGATGCTTGCTCCTCCTCCTCCGAGGCCAAGGCGAGCTCCTGGCTCGGGGCTCCCGACAGCACTAGTGAGGCTTCGCCGACCGCCAGCGAAGGGCCGGGCGCGCCGCACGCACAGGCAGCCAGCCACACTTCAGGGCTCGCTCACGCCAAACACTTGGGCGCACGGCAGCAGCGGCGCGACTTTGGCTGCGCTCACACTTGTACAAAAGAACACAAAGGCCTCTTCTGGGCAGTGAGCGGACAGAATCCCGAGAGGGGGGGTTTTCACCGCGGTCCTCACTGAGCGGCTCGAGACAAGCAAGAGGAGTGTATCCCCGTCGATCATGCCGGCCCCGTGGTGCTGCTGCTGAGGAGAGCTGACCACGACGCGCACGTCACCACGGGCAACAGAGATGGTGGCCTCGGGTCTAACCCAAAGGTGAGCACCCGCACGGAGTGGGATTTTAGTTTCGTGTCCGGATTCGCCGCGACTGCTGGTCTCTCTAGCGAGGCGAAAGTTGCCAAGCGCACGCACAAATACTCGAGCGTGCATTCGCCTAAAGTGGCAATATCTTGATAATGCTTTTGGGTACTTCTCTACACTTCCCATTTATCCTGTGATCGCTAGAGAAGGGCTTTGCTGTATAAATAATATCAGAGAAGTAAACTGTGCAGTCAGCGTCAATGTATATTTGCCTCTTCCGTTATAGTCGGGATTCAAAATACTTTTTTTTTCTCTTCTTTCTGCCAGATTGCTGCTGCTATCTACACTCGCGCTGTGCTTCTATAGCGCACTGTCTTCTAATTACCCGGTAAGTTATCTCCGGTGGACCTTGGTGTACTTGTTTCGCATTCGCAGAGAAGACAGAATAGCACACGTCGACTCATTATCAGCCGCCGAGTACAGAAAGAGCATGTAGAGAAGTGAAGCGAGCATCTCAGAGAACGACTGTTAAACAGAGAGAAATGAAAAATAAGTCATAGTCGGTCTTTATTTTTCGCGCGAACCACCGCTGTCCAGTTGCGCGCGCACGTGTGCCGTCTGCTACACGCACCGAGCTGGGCAGTCGCCGCTTCCGGTCACTGCTGATCGAGCAGTTGCGCCAGGCGGCAGCAGGCCCAGGCACGAAGGAAAGGGCAAGACGCCTCCTCTACCAAGTTTTGCCCTCTCCCGCCGTGCCACGGGCTTCGCGCTCTTTCTACTCCCGTCTCCATCCGTTTCATCCTTTGCGTATGCCGTTCGCATTGGAACTTTGAGGCGCCCGGAACGTTGACACCTCTCCCTTTTATGCCAGTGGTTTTCCAGCACTGATGAAGCCACCAATGCAAACATGTGGCACACGTCTCGATACGCTCACAGTTGTCTTGCCAACGCTCTCTTTACCCCTTCGACAGGTGCTGCGGCTCAGCACGTTTATTGCCGCTGTACGCTTTGATTTACAGACCTCCCTCTAATGAATAGAGCCGGCCCTCAGCTCTTCAGCGTTAGCCGCTGCGATGAGCGATGCCCGCCTTGCGTGCGCTGTAAAGGGAGAGTCAATGTCTTTAAAACTTTGTTAGGTTTCTTTTCATTAGTTTTGTATCTTTTACAGCGTGATATACCGCAGGATGAACGTTTCGCAACATTCAACCGTAAAAATGGTGCTTGATTACGAATTTTACGAAATATTTCCCCAAATGAGATTGTATGCTTAAAAATGAGAGATTTCGTTGTAGTTTCAGTAGCTCACAATCTACGTCAGTCTAATGTTGGAAGGATACTTTGTTCATCGAAGTTTTTTAACTGCATATTTTATAACTTTTTAAATTAAAGCAGAAACGCTGAAACTATCGTAGAATCACTCTCGAATGAAGTTGCATACAACTTCAAAGTGTGCACTCATACACCTGTTTATCTCGCAATGTTATCTTACTTTTATATTAATGCATCTGCAGTGGGAGCGATTTTATCATATCCAAACTCCGGTGTACAAAAATGAGGGCCCTCACTCATAACAAGCGTTGATATTTAAAATCATGCATCAACCTGTAACAGTTCCGCAATAATCTCTCAAGGATGCACGTGACTATTAATAGTAGGAATGACGGCTACTGTTTGATCCTACTACTAATGGTGTAGTGCCACCATTTACCAAGCAACACCGACCATCAACAGGTGAAAACAAAATCCCTTTTTATACCAAATAGATATTTTGAAGTTCTTATAAATAATATTTACTATATTAGACCATTAAAAGGGTCCCTGACGACACCGAAATTCCTAACGACACACGTAAGGTAATCTGACCTCGCATTAGTGGCGAACGTAACCTCGATTATATTTAAATATTGTTATAAAATAAACGGTGGTGTCTGTCTGAGTTGGAAGCATGTCGCAGCATCGCGATCAACATGATGCGTCATGTGACTCCTCGGTTTGGCTCTCTCTGACGTTTCGCCCGTTGCGTTAGCATTGCCGACTTCACGGGAAGCCATTAAATTGCACGCAACGTGAGCTCCACGAGGAGGCCTATTGTCCCTTGCCACGCTTGACTAAAGTATGCCAGCGGCGTTTCAAGTAACATCGCGAGTTATTTTTGCTTTCTTTTTTTTTTGGAATGCCGTTTTATTGTTGGTGCCTAATTGTTGACAGAAATTTCGGTGGGAGAACGTGCGTGGTGTGCCACGCTGTGCGCCACCGACGTTGTTTCATTTCTTCCGCACGCTGGGTCCTGATTGATTGATTGATATGTGGAGTTTAACGTCCCAAAACCACCCTATGATTATGAGAGACGCCGTAGTGGAGGCCTCCGGAAATTTCGACCACCTGGAGTTCTGCAACGTGCACCCAAATCTGAGCGCACGGGCCTACAGCATTTTCGCCTCCACCAAAAATGCAACCGCCACAGCCGGGATTCGATCCCGTGACCTGCAGGTCAGCAGCCGAGTACCTTAGCAACTAGACCACCGTGGGGCGGTCCCTGATTCAATAGCGCTCCTTAAACATCACTGAAGTTGAGGAGCAAGTGATATTGTGGCACTCCGCCGTGGTGGGGCGTTAGTTTCTCATCTTTTTTTGGGCGACCGTTTTAAAGCGACGCCAAGCTTCATCACAATTGGCGACGCTGTCTTTAATTATACGTTACTTCAGAGCACTCACGATCCAATTTTGTGACTATTAGAGCCAAACCTACTCATTAAAGCATAAAAGTCACGAGGAAAATTCTAGCTGTCAGGAGTCCGTTAAACATAATCCGGCAAGCGGACTTCTCCACGTACCTCAGACAATTAAAAAAAAGAACAACCGCGTTCAATTTTGTTTGCAGAAGCAAAAAAAGAATAGCGATGCTTGTGCTTAGATCAGTGGAGAAATAGTTCTGGTTTGTGACCCTGCCCGGGGAGAGGCTGGACGTGGTTATAAATAAAATTGTTATGGAAAGGGTAGAGAGCGAAAGAGACGAAAACAATGTAATCGAGGGCACGGAACTACGGTAGATGGAGGTTCTGTTAGTCTCTCATGAAAGCCGGTCGACATCAGAAATCTTCGCAGCTCGAATAACGCCTTCTGCGTAGAGTTTTCCTTTCGAACACTGTTTTCTAACTTGTAACACCAGTGTACGAATGTCCATTCGGTCAAGCACTGCGCATATCACTTGCCTCTGGGCATTGTGACGTAAAATGGGCCCGTGAGATGGGCAGGGAAACCCACTTGCGTGGCTGCAGAACAGCCAGAGAAAGGGCATCGTGCGATGGCCACGAATATGTCTGGCTCGTTGTGGCATCCTCGTTTAAGGAAGCGGTTGTTGCGGGTGAGCGTAGGCGCCACGGTGCCTTTCACTTTGTGAGCGTACCAAGAGGACAAGTGAGTTTAACTTGTTTACGGCAATGTATGCAAGCATATGCGACCATTTCAGCTATAAGAAAGAAGGGAACCAGACAACCGCTTACTTTATCTTACACTTCGTCCCTAAACTTCACTAAAACTTTTTTTTTTCTTCAGAGTAGTTGTAACTATACCATCGAAACTGCTGCTGTTTTTAAGCAAGTATGAGACCAGTGACGCTAAGCTATGCATTTATAATGCTGAGATCACTTCATTTTTTTTTCAATTGACGACTCGCGAGCTTTGTATACTCATCTCTTGTAAAACGTAATGAACGGTTGCCATTTTCATTGGTTAATCATATACAGGAAAAATAATACGAGAGTTTGGATACGTATTCCAAGTGATGTACTTTTTGACTTCCCTTAGCCTAACTTGTCCCTCCTGCTGGTACGCTGATGAAACGGCAAAAGTACTGTACGATTCCGCACTCGAGCCCCTTTTGGCATCTGCAAGTCCTGATGGTGCTGTTTTAGGAGGCTTTAGATCGCAGAATACAGCGTTTTCGAGAGTGTTGATTGATTGATTTGTGGGGTTTAACGTCCCAAAACCACTATATGATTATGAGAGACGCCGTAGTGGAGGGCTCCGGAAATTTTGACCACCTGGGGTTCTTTAACGTGCGCCCAAATCTGAACACACGGGCCTACAACATTTCCACCTCCATCGGAAATGCAGCCGCCGCAGCCGGGAATCGAACCCGCGCCCTTCGGGTCAGCAGCCGAGTACCTTAGCCACTAGACCACCGCGGCGGGGCGTTTTTTTTTTTCGAGAGTGTGTGCGTTTACTATTTTTTTATCTTTTTTTTTTGGTGTACCATAGGACACAAGCGTAGTAATTATATCTAATGATAAAGCGCAAAAACCGTACCGTAGCAGGTGGAATGAACGGTTAGGTAAATTGGAATGTCCTGTAGTGGCAACGCCGGTGGCTAAATGGTGTCACACGCACAGTTTTGAAAGCATGAATGCTCATTTTTTTATGCTTCTCGTATAATTTTCATGGCTATTCGCACGTGTCGTCGCACTATGAATGGCCGTGACACGAGATCACAGCCATGATGCGAACATACGTAACCTATCCTAAAAGATCCCGCCCCCTGTCCAGTATGTAAATAATGATTTCTCCTTCATTTGCAGAAACATTCAAGTCAAGATTTTTTTTTTTTCGTCGACATTCGCCATATGCAGACACGGAACTAAGTTTTCACTCGATTTCTGGCTTTAAAACGGTGCGCTGCTCCTTACAAGCAAGCACGACGTCCCAAGAAATTCCTCTTTTCGGATTGACCGACTCGCTAATTTGCGCATAACTTCCCATTCTCGCAGGAGTTCAGATAACAAGCCGTTTCGCAAGCGTTCCTCGCTTAGTTCGCTTCCGGGGATCTCGTCTGCGACTGACCGTTGCCGTAAGAAGAGAACGAGGCAGATCAGCCGACTCAAGTCAGCCAGTGATGGTTTTAAGTGAAAGGGAGACAGGGGGGCATCCCTGCGGCGAGCGGTGCCACTCAGCGCGGCGTGTTGTCTTGCGAGCGCGTTCCATGTGTGCAGCAGCGCGCCGTCGTGGCTGGCTCGTGCTCTAAACCCCGGAAACTCTGTGAATGAAGCGCACACGGGGCAAGCTTTGTGCCACCGACCGACGACGTAGGGCATCTGGAGCCTGGAGGGTGGAAACCGCACGCGATTCACGTGGTGATCTGCGAGCCTCCTTCGAAAACTACTCGAAGGTATTCGGGAGAGGCTTCGCCGGGACGCGTGTTCTGCGTGTGGCTTCTTCCGACCGTGCTTCCCGGACGATGTTAGCCTCCTGCGTGTTCCGCCTAGTTTGGTCCTTTCACGAAAACCCCGTTGTGACTATGTCAAGACAAAGGCCGATATGTAGGCTGAACGTGTCACGCAAACGGTGCTGAATTCAGGGTCGTATGATAATGTTATCGACACGGACAGTTAA